TAGTCTTGTTCCGAGTCCAATGATTTCATTTAAGACTTGAGTGAACGCGAGGAATCCCACTTCTAATATTAAAGACGAGAAGACACATTCGTACATAACAGGTTTGTAAAAAATAAATTATTTGAACTCGGTCCCTGTTTCATAAAACTGGTCATCAACAACAAATTACAATTACTGTTACAAGCTACTCATATAAGAGCATCTGATTAGCTGTTAGCAAATCTGTCATTGAATAATGGCAATTACTATTGAAAAACAAGCTTTATGAAACAGGGCCTAATTCTCACCATGAACATGATGGACAAAGAAAGAGGACAAATTATACAGTTCCTCAGGTAGACAAAGAAACATCCCTTCACTGCTATTATGTAAAAATGTGTAGAACAGGTGTCACAAGCATATTCACCTGTTCTACACATTTTTACATAATAGCAGTGAAGGGATGTTCTTTTGTCTACCTGAGGAACTGTATATTTTGTCCTCTTTCTTTGTCCGTCATATTCATAGTGTCTATTTGGTTCAATTAGTCACGACATGTGAAAAAGGGTTCATAATATAACTATAGGTGTCGGTTTCACAGCGTCCCATGATCTTGCAAGTTGGAATTGCAGTCTACATGCTGATGTGTCTTACAGTAGACCTTGTGTTCTTTCCAGTGAGTTTAATCATCAAAATCAGAATTGTGAAGGCTTTTGTCAAATGCTACAATGTATCTTTATCATACAATTCAATATGTCAAACATGTAATGTAGGATGCACAATCAAATGTGTCTTTGCTGCCACCTCTTTATAAAGGCCACCTGTCTAAAGTGGCCATTCTCTGTTTGCCTTGGGTGGCCGTCATAGACAGGTTTGACTGTATGTGGTGCACAGTGACTACGTGAAAAGGGCCCTTTTCCCCACAAACATTTCCTCACGAATTCATCTTTATATAAGTGCACTGTTTGTCGGCATGACAACTCCAGCAATAACAAAATGATACAAGATTGCATTATATGTACATGAAATCCTCCCTGAACACTGGCCTATCAAACCTCAAATATCTCCAGTTTACTACCCTTTTATTTCTGTTTTCAACTACGCAGCATTAAGTGAGCATATACAGATATACACTACACAAATATCTCTCCCTCATACTTTAATCTTATGCCCAATTCTAAAGGTCCAAAGAGTAAATTACAAGCATATTTACAGAGACAGATTCATAGGACACAAACAAAAAGAGAAAAGAAATTAAAAAGAAATAAAAAGAGACAAGCATTTGATTACTAATAACATTTACAACCATATATTCATAAAATTTTTGCACATACACAAATATAAAGTTATGGTTTCCATACGATTTCATATGAAATTCTGAATTTAGTACGCAACAGCAACTTCTTATGCAAGCTTTTGAGCCTCATTCACATGTGGTTACGAAAACAACCGTGGTTAACCGCAGAGCCAAAATAAGCGTAGTGTGAATGGGCTACACATTTCTCTACCTTTTAAACATATCAGTGAGGACTTTTGTTGCATGCAGCTCCTTAAAAAAACAGGCCATTAGGACTTCAAATTCTTGAGTCTTGAAAGTCTGCAGGTTTCACCTACGGGAGGATTAATTGCTAACAATGTGTGAAGCTGGGGAGAAACAAATGGGATATAAAAAGACGGTATCCTGTAAAGATAAAGAGCGACAATGAAAGAGAAGGCAGGAGGGAAGAGAGAGAGAGAGAGAGAGAGAGAGAAAGAGAGAGAGAGAGAGAGAGAAGAGAGAGAGAGAGAGAGAGAGAGAAAGAGAGAGAGAGAAAGAGAGAGAAAAAGAGAGGAGAGAGAGAAGAGAGAAAGAGAGAGGAGAGAGAGAGAAAGAGAGAGAGAAAGAAAGAGAGAAAAAGAGAGGAGAGAGAGGAGAGAGAAAGAGAGAGGAAAGAGAGAGAGAGAGAGAGAGAGAGAGAGGGAGAGGGGAAAGGGGGAGGGGGAGGGGGAGGGGGGATGAGGGAGAGTACATCACTACATCAGGCAGCAGGATTGACAATTACCTGTTATTCATCAATACATTCTCCCATGTATCACCAAAAAATCTGAAGGAAAGTTTTAGCCTACTGAACATGTTATTATTGATTCTGAATATATTATCAATTTTGCATGTAAGAAGCAAAACAAAAAACAAAAAACATCTAAAAGGCTAAAAAAGAATGAGATTGATAATATACACCCTGTATCAATAATGGAAGATTGTCAATTTTAAGCCATTTTTCTTTTGTTTCTTTTTTGCCCCCCTCCCTTTTAAGCAACTCTGTTTGCTTTATCCACTGTCAATTCCTTGTCTATTGCACAATCTAATTTCATAAGAAACATTGTGTGGAAATTCTCCTTTCCACCATCTTTTTATTTTTTTTATTTTATTCCATCAATTTTATTTTTTTCTAAGATAATTTTTTTTTCTTCATAAAAAAACACCCCCAAATCCCTAATAGATTACCACACAATCTATCATATTTCATAGCCTCCTGCCAAATAAAAAAAATATAAGCAGATATATATCATAAACATCTATTTAAAAAAAAGGTTGAAATCAAGTAGGCTTAAACTTTTAAAACTAAATAGATGATTAAAAAGCACTAAAAAGAAAGTACCTAATGTTCATAATCAAAATCCCATACATAATGTTTATAATCAAAACTCAACCTGATAAATTTATATGATGCATGGTGATTTGAATGACCCTTTCTATAATATCTCAAAGCGTATTCTGTATTAAGCGCTTCATAAATCCAGATTATTATTGTTATTATATAATATATTATATTATATATTTAAATTAAATTCAACTTTATTTTTCAATTTGCCAAGAGGGGCTGAGGGCAACATGATGCTTGGGAATAGCTGTGACATGAAGAAGGGGAATAGTAATTTCTATTAGTATCACAATTCACAAACCCTTGAGAAGTGGACATTTCCATCACTAAAGTTACTAATAAGTCACTTAAAAATTGCCAATGAAACCGATTAAAATTCGAATTTATCTATAAATAATTTAGGATACAGTACCTATTATGGTTATGATGTAACTATCAACTTAAGACATTGCTTTATGCCATTGTATAAGTCATCCCTCCCTAATATAAACCAGTAACAAATTCTGGAAGGTTGTCCATGATAATTGGTATACTCTGTCTGATAAGATTGGGTTACATGTATCACTATTAAGAGCAGTTTATTTTGAAAGTTCAATTGACATACTATGGTTATTCCTAACACTAGCTTTCAACCTGTACTAGCTGCACTGCCACTGATTAGGGGAGCTTGGCCAACACTGTTCGAGTTGGGCACAATATGACGAATACTGCTATGTTGGGCAAGGACTAAACAAAAGATCATATGCCATGATGTGACCAAGTTGGCCAAACTCCATGGATAGAAAGATCGCTCTGAATAGCTTTATTCAGCAACGCCCCCAATGCTGTAGAACGGTACAATTTTAGAGGATGGGGGAAAAGGTAGATGGGGGTAGAGAGAGAGAGAGAGAGAGAGAGCCACATGTACCTCTCTGGTTTAGAAGTGGGACAAGACACATCCCTTTAAGGGGTCGTTCACATAAGTCATGGTAAACACAGGTGGTTTCTTTATCAGGGATGCCAGTTATAATTGATCAGAGGGCCTGAAAATCACCTAGAATGAGCTATTTTGAACACAAAAAAGCTTAAATTAAGGTCTGAAAATAACTCACCAGGGCCTGAATTCAGGTTATTGCCTGAAAACTGGCATCCCTGCTTTAAGATCATATTAGCAGTGTGCGTTTCACAATTCTGTATCTTATAACTGGGTAAGTGAGAATGCAGAGGACCTTTCTTGAGAGCAGTTACTGATTTTCATCCTCTCTTGCTTTTCACTGACTACTAAAAAAATAAAGTTTAATTTCAGATAAGCGTGTCATAAAGGAACGGAGTTTAGTCCTCACTGTGGGTAAGATGGGATGGCTCTGGACAGACATCAATGCACCAGGGGGTGTTTCACAAAGATCCAAAGTTGAACTTATCTCTAAGTTGGACTTCAAAATTATGGAGGGCCATTTGTAACCTTATAATGAAAAATATTCATTAGCAAAATTCAAGTATTTTAAACTTTTCATAAATTCCACATCAAGAACATGAAATCTCCCATGAAAATAGAAAATATGAATGATTTGAAGCAACATTTTAGGCCTTTTGAAATAAATTTTACAAAATATTTTCAAAGATGCTAACAGCTTTCTATAATTGTTAAGTCCCACTTTGAAATAAATTCAGCTTAGGACCTTTGTGAAACACCCCCAGATAGCCCAGCTGAGGAATCCTCAGGAGATAAAGCATTTGCTACACTGATGTATCGATCTATCCAGAATGAAATGAAAACCCCAAAGGAATACCTGTAACAAGTTGATTTTCTTAGAAATAACGCTTTAGAAATCCCAGCCGAGCTAGCAGTATCACTTAACCATTTGCCTGCATGAATCAGGCGGTCCCTGTAATGAGACTATGGGGGATAGGAAAGTGCAGTAGTCGACGGGTTAAGAGTAAAGTCTACTCTTGTTTTTAATGCACGAAATAGGCTGATCATACCAGCAAGCGATGATGCGAAAGCAATCTCAAGTTAGATTCATAGACGTCAGCTCTCGGGACAAGCTCAACAAAATGATATATATATAAATTCATATATAAGACCACATCTTCATTGGAACTGCTTTTCAACACCACATTAACTTTACATTATCATAGAGCTTATCAGAAATCAACTTGATTCGATCATCTCCCAGAGGAGATTCCATATGATAATTGCCTGTACATAGATCATAGACACCATAGCAAAGACCTCATTTTTTAGTTTGTGCAGACTTGATCTCGACACAGTTCAGTTTTTTAAAGTATGAGGTCCAGTGACTATTGGCTGGTGCTTTTAATACACAAAGGGCTGCCTGCGATGCACTCTTAAATGCGTACGTGATGAGACGTGGACAGGCAGGTAGGGACACCCATAGGGACGTGAACCTGAACAAACACATGGATAAAACCATCACAATAAAGAGTCCATTGAAGTTTTCAAAGAGTTCATGATCTCCCATGTCAGGTTACTTGCGTCCGTCTTGAGAGAGAGAGACGTTGGGCCGACCGATCTCTCAACTGTTGTTGGGTGCCTCCAGCATCTCCATGAGGAACGTGTCGATGGGCGTGTCTCCGATGAGCTTAAAGAAGAAGAGATGCTCCAGGCATTTGAGACCGATGGAGCGCAGGGCAGGCAGTCTGAGGAGCAGCTTGGCGAAGCGGCCGGGTTCGTCCGTGTACTGGTTGCGGCAGTATTCCTCAAGAGAGGCGTACACCTTCTCCCGTAGCTCCTCCACTTTCTGTACCGAGGTCAAGTTCTTGGCATCTGTGGTACAAAGAAAATAAGAAAGAAAATAAGAAAGAAGGTTGAGTCCCGATTGCGAGCTTTCTGTTTCTTTCCAAATCATTTTTATAAGTGAGCTCAAATGTTATTGCATTTAAAATTGGGACCCTCAAAATTTGAAAAATTCACACAAAAAAACTCACATGAAAATAACAGCTAACTGTTAAACCACAAAATTTCATGTACATTTGGCAAGGTATTGATCTACATTTGACCACACTCAACCCAGGTGATATAAATGGGTACCGGGCAGGCATTTATTCCTTGATGCTAGAGCGCTGTAATGGCAACCATGCTAAAGCCAGGGTATTAATAGGGAGCACCAGGAGTGTCACGTGTGACAGACATGAGCGCTATACAAGAACCCAATACTATTACATGAGATAGTCACCAGATTTGTGAGTGGTTAAGATCTAAGAAAGTTTCATGCTGCCAAAGAACCAAAACAGCCACACAACACTAATATCTGCTTTTCGTAGAGTGCATTCTTGCCTTGACAATAGCGGCTGTTTAAAGTTCATGAAGTTTCATGTCAGAAGAGTTTCTGGTTTTATAGTATACAGGGATCTCAGTTGTTGTTTATTAATCATTTTTGCCCGACATTTGTCCAAGACATTTATACAAGTTATATTAGCAACCTTGCAGAATTCATCAAAAAATAACAGCTTATACTGTGCGTCCAAGAAAAAACAAAACCAAGAATTATCGATGTTTTATCATAACTTAATGACAACTATAATTAATAAATGACACATATTTGTAAAGCTTAGATCCTCCTCTTTCATTTGATGCAACTCATATGATGCATACTTCACACATGAGTGATTAAAAACAATTTTAAGAGAGGGAACCAAAAAGTCATTTGGCGGGCGGTATCTGAATTTCAAAGAGAAAATCACATTTCTAGAAACTTCATTTTCTGCCCTTTCATATGACACCTCAATCAAGCAAATTGAGCAAGGAATAACAAAGTTCTGTTGGTTAATAGTAAGGTTTTCATTTTCATAATTTGATTAAACAAATTCGTTTTCACTGGCTGCCTGTCGTAGCAACAATCAAAATAGACAAATGACTTTAACTCCGTTTCGTAGACGATCAGCCATGCATCAAGTCTTTCGTTGCATGGCTGATTGTCAACGAAACATAGTCTTTTGTCAACTCTGAGCCATGTGTCATTTATTAATCATAATTATGATTAAGTTATGATTAAGTTTTTACTGTGACTGTACAATAGATTATTGCAGCCTGTGTCTTACCTGGGTTGAAAAGCACGATTGCTCTGAGACAGCCAAGCTCTGTCTTATCCATCTTCATTTCTCTCATCTTAGCCACCAGCTCGGTGAGGACCCTGTCAAAGATTGTGCCCACCCCTGCACTGTGGGCGCTGTTACGGTGGACGTGGAGGCCGGTGGCAAGGAGGATGCCATCCTTCACTTGGATGGAGCGATGTGAGAAGGCTGCAATCAACAGCTCGTTCCACCCTGCAGAGAGAATGAGTGAGAGAGAGTGAGTGAGAGAATGTGTCGTGGTCGAGTGGATCATAAAGTCCGCGGTTCAAGTCCCGACGCGGCACTGATGTCCTTTGGCAAGACATTGACAATGACATCTACATTTGCCACTCTCCACCCAGGTGTTAAAATGGGTACCCGGTACGATGCGACCGTCATTGTTGGTCAAACAGTTTTTGAGCGTCAAGTTATGCCTGGTTGGAATTCTCCCCAGGGAGTGGAGATTGTGCACACAGTGTGTGCAGGGCAAGCACTGAATCCAATGACCGAGGTAATAGTATATCTGTAAAGCGCTTAGAGACGTCCGAGATGTATTAAGGGCTATATAAAAGCTGAATATTATTATATTATTATTATGAGTGAGTGAGAGAGTCCAAATCGAATAAAGTACAACCTTGTGGTATCAGATCAGGACTTGCAGGTTGAAAGTATGATTTGAAACACAGTCAAACCTGTCTATCAAGGTCTCCCAAGGGAAACAGAAAGACCTGTCACCGTAGGCAGGTGGTCTCTCTCTCTAGATCGGTTCTACAACACATATTTCTTTCTCAAGGGAGACAAACTACTTGGCCACTAAACACAGGTGGCCTTTATGGAGAGGTGGCCACTATGAAAGTGCCCTTTATGGGGAAGAACTTTTCTCAGGGCTTTTTATTTTTGAGAAGCCCCAAGATTTTGTGTTAGAACCAAGTATGTTAGGCACTGGCAAGAGCCCCCAGCGGTGTCACTTCATATGGAGTTTGTGTACTTGTGTTGGTTAGAAATTTTTCTCAAAAATTTGGGTCATTTCGGCAGATTTGAAAAAGAGGACACTATTTATTTAATCTTTTTAAAGGAGAAACCTGTGACTCAAATAGTGTAAGGCAAATACTGCAAAAAGAGGGTACTTTTTTGTGAATTTATACTCAATAAGCCACACAATAGACATATATAGAGCATATTTTGTACCTGGTTTAGGCAAAAAGGGGTCATACTGAGAGAAAACAGTTCTTGTAAATTCACAACGAGGAGGTTATTTTTTACTCCGCTAACGATCATGCATCCCCAGTTTGAATACAAAGCAATGATACGGACGCAAAGCCAAGAGGTGTAACTGACCTGCCCTGAGGAGCGTGACCTGATCATCCAGTGGCAGTTCTGTGAAGTGTGGGATTCGCTTGGCCCATTCTACCAGGGTAAAGAGTTGTTTGTCGGCAGCTTGGCAAATGTTTGTCACAGGGTCACGCTACGTTTGAAGAGATAACAGATTACATTTATGTTAAAGAAGTAAAGAAGAGTATTAATTTGAGCATTAGGTGACAGAGCAATACTCACCATTACTTTACATAAGGATGTACTCATGTGTAGTGGTTCATTCTCACCTCCCTTATCAGCAAATGATAATGCATTTCATTATTTTGTTTTATCTGAACAGCAAAAGGTCATTTTCAGAATTTGATACTCTCGAATTAATAGAGGATGCACAGCCATGGAGCAGTTCATGCTTATCTTAAATGTACAGTTAACAACTAAATTATCTATACCCCTTGTTTTTCGTAACTCAAGAATGTTAGGTGGACCGGTTGGATTTGGGCTTTTGTTGAATACTTTTAGATGTCAGCTTTGAAGCCCCACTGCACTACTTATAGCTACTTGCGCCCTCTATATAGCAAACAATGCCTAATCGGTGCCTGTTGGTCCCCCATGATCCTCATTTTCTTATGTTAATTAAGAGCAGATTTGATGACATAACCACCTGTCAGTGACCTTGCAGGGAGGTCTAATCCCCTTGGCCAAACTAGTGCAGACAGGCTTTAATACGTCACATTCTCAAGAAACATAAATCTGTACAAGTCAATGTTTCATATACTTTAAAAATTACAACACTGTGTAGGGTATGAATGATTTAGTTGTTAACTCAAGCTTTCCTATATATGTTACCAATCGCATCTACGATTTCATTATTTGATGACCGTCTCAAGCTCACAGCCATGCTTGAGCTCTTATGTGACTTTATGCTCACAGTTCCAGAATTCAAGTCAATAATACTTGGTAACATTAAGGGTGTACATCACCTTGGACTCACCTACTTACTAATCACAAATTAACAGACTGGGATTCAACAACAAAAATAATTTGGATGTTCATACTCACGAAAGGAGGCAGATATGTAAACTTTTGGTCTGAGGATTAGAGATAGACCTAACCAATGGCTACAAGAAATCTAACTAATCTGTGATTTCCTTCTTGGAGACTTACCGGGGTGTCTACGTAGGGGCCATTGTTAGGTTCTACTGCTAGTTCGGCATCCAAGATCTTTTCCACAGGCATGTCATTACTTGTTCCACTTGTGCTCTCTACCTGACTGTCACCTGTGGGCTTGTCTTTGCGTTGCCGCTCCTCTTGTACAGCTGAAGTAAAAGAAACACCTGTAGAGCATTACATATAAAACTGTCTACCAACCCTACCGAAGGAAATCTGGAGAAGTGATTGCTAGTAAAACTAGGTTCTTGTTTCATAAAACCCTTTTTTATCAATAACACATTACAATAAATAAGCTACTGAAATCAATTCAATTAATTGGCTGACAGCAATTTGTCACATGAATTCTCACAATTGTTATTGATAACAAGTTTTAAGAAAAAGGGTCCAAAACTTTTATGCGAATTGCTGATAATGGCAGTTTTTGCAGCAAGCACTAATCACAAGTCAAGTAAGTGAAATATCATGAAGTCGTTTGTGATATGTAAGGCTTTTAATAACCTTTAGACAGCTATTTTGAATAATTATCTTTATAAATTCCCCCCTTTTCCTACCTTCTCTGCGCATGCCCATGCCCAGGCACTTCTGATAGCGGCAATATTGGCACCGATTTCTCTGTCTCTTGTCGACCATACAGTTACGATCGTCCCGACAGGTATACGTGAGGTCTTTCCGTACTGTCCTCTTGAAGAACCCTTTGCAGCCTTCACAACTGTAGACTCCATAATGCTTGCCTGTAGATCGGATGTAAGATGGAAAGAGTGGGAAATAAGCCAAGGGTGGTGGAAAAGAAGCCAAGATTGGTGAAAAAGAAGCAAAAAGGGTTGTGGAAAAGAAGTAAAAGGTTGTGGAAGGAAAGAAGCCAGGAAATGATCAGGAATAAATTGAAGGAGAAGAGAAAAAGAGATAGGAATAGGTAAAATGAGGAGAAAAGAAAACAACAAAGGAAATTTGGTTACTTTAAATATCAGTTTCAAGCTTGAAATAAATAAATGCACTAGAAAAGTATTTTGATCATGCATGAAACTTCCTTCATAAAATATAATTTAGGAATTTAGGAATATAATCTAGTTTACAAAAACCACTATGCACTCTGTGAGTAGATTCTAAACACGAATAGCTTTATTAAATATTAATGTATTCACGTATGAGAGTGCAGGTTCAATAATAAATGTTCATAATGATGGCTATTTCTTCACCTAACAAAGGGCGCCAATAAGTATGTTTTTTAAAAGATTTCCTGCTTTGGTTTGATCTTAAGGTCATTAACAAACTGTCACAGTAGATAATTATTGTCAGACTAATTCCTATACAAACGAACATGCGCAAAACCATCATCACAACCTTCATAGCAATTCAGCCACTCATCTCGCATCCATTTTTTATATTTTATGCACCCAATACAGAATAATGAAAGAGATAAAAGATTGATAAACAACATTAAATACTGTAGGAGGGAGGTGCTCATGAGACAATTTAACTAACAAGATTCAAAATCAACTCTGAATAAAAGGAGAATATCTATTTGGAGAGACTTTTTCCAACTGTCCACTTTTTTTGAGGCACACTGTACATGGCGCACTAAGAATTGTGTATGAAGTGTCTACCTTAATAGTTTTGTAGACTACTATATTAAAGGTAATGCAAAGTTTTGGGAATTTTTGAAAATTGGATGGATAGTAATTCTTTAAAATTTTGATATATTTGGATGCCCCTGTGGATGTATAATAATCCCCTAAAACACTTCTGCATTCAAGAAATTGGATAAAAAATTTACTGGTGCTCCCTGTAAATTTCAATTTATTTCAAATAGCGCCCAAGGCCATTCCATGGTAACTGCGACCATGAAAATCTCAGAACATGCAGTTCTGATATATCATTTCCAAACGGGAATAGCAAATTGGTTGATTGTAGTCAAGAAACAGTGTATTAAAGCTAAAGTAATACCAGCCTTGAGAGGGAGCTATAACAATTACATCACTTTAGACTTAATTTCAACCGTGATTACGATCATTGAATATTATTAAATCGCATATGCTTCCAATATGTTCATTTGAACCAAATTCATGATCCCATACCCAAACTTTGTATTATACCTTTAAAGCAATGAACAACAACACTACAAATTTATGTCAAAATATATAATACCTATTTATTATAATGATGAATGATGTGGGAAAAGTTAAGTTAAAAACAAATAACAATTGGTTTTAAGATACTAATTTAGCTGAAGTATTCTTGTACAGTATGTGAGAACTAAGAAACAAAAAAAGAGAAATTCCTAGCCTCAAGTGGATTGCAAGAGGTGGGATGTAATCTTAATGACGCAAACGTTATCATTCAGATTCTTTTAAGCACAGTCTTTAAAACTGAGTGGTTGTGAAAAACAGTGGTATAAAGCAGTATTAATTGCTATTGAAGGGGAGGGAAATAGGAATGGCAATTAGCAGACGGCTGGGTCATTATTTTTCTTGCACAATTGTACAGCTACCCAGACAGCTGTGGTTGAGCCATAATGCTAACATATGACAAACACTTGATACTTGAAGGAGGCGCCTAGGTGTGATTTACTGAGAAATAAAGAGGTACTTAATTGAATATTAATAAAGACATTACAAAAAAAACCTTAAGGGCCTTAAGTCTTGCACAATCATCAACTGTCTGCCATCATTGGTAAGATAAATGTATGTGTAACTGGCTATAAGGTGAAGTTCCTACACAGATGATTGTAGGAATACAACCAATACTGCCTTTCTAAAAATGTGAATTTCTGGCAGCGATATTTATACCAGGGCTTTCTATTCCATATGCCATTTTACAAAGTAAGGCTCTGAACAGTTGCTTTCAAAGAAAATATTCCCATTATTATACGTGTATCATTGATCACTTAGCTTGTTGCCATGCCTTCACTGTGAATAAGGACATGATGCATATGTTTGTTTCATAATCAATCATCAATGGTCGGTAAATGGTAATGTCTACATACTGTACATGTACATGTAAGTGCTTTGACATACTGTATGCTCCGGAGACAATAGCTCTGGGCTTTCTTCCTCAATGATACAGGGTTAGGGTTAGATGTATGGTATAGTAGTGTTTTGTACAGGGTTGAGAAATTACTAGTTTGGTAAGTATTGGATATCGACACCTGGGCCCCCGCCTTACAAAGAGCTGTAATCGTTCCGAATCAATCGTAAGTCCTCTAATCAATCGCAAGTTTGCAGTCTCCTATCTCTTATGTACATAGTTACGATTGATATCAATCACAAATAAGATGTGATGGATATCAACTCTTTGTAAGACGGGGGCCCTGAACAACCAACCATACATCATTAATGATGCCCATGTGCACTTCACACCGCTATCTAAACCCAAACTGAGAAAACAGAAACAGCACTTATTTCTGTTTCACAAGTGTGTAGGAAACTAGAAATAAATGATCAGGGAAAAATATTAAATATTTATTTTTAGGGGGCTACTTTTCAAGCTTGCCTGCATAAAAATAACACTCTTAAAATTTGTTTTGCATTTTTGGAAATGATGTTCACATACTCATAAAGAATGGGGCACATTTTTTATGAATAATCCTAAATCAAAAGGTAACAATGCCTGCATACTGTTCACAGTAGAACCTAAATCGGGACTAAGGAGAGGAAACGCCGCACATTTCCGTTAAAAAAAAGAAACGTTTATTAAAACGGTTACTGATGTCCACATGGTGTTCACACCTAAACCTTAATCGTGATTACCGGTAAGGATAGGAAACTGCGAACATTTCCAAAGAATTATTGTAAATCAAAAGTTTATGAGGTTCACATTGGAACTGGACCGAGAGAGCGGAAACAGCGCATATTTCCAGCCAATCTATGATGTCCCCTTATTGTTCACACCGGAACCTCGTCAGGACTAATACAGAAAACAGTGCATGTTTCCGACTGGAACGTGGTGCGACTATCCCTGCAATGTTTCTAGGTGAGCTCCTAGCGGGGTTGGCGGCCATTCATGATGCAGGCATCCCCAGTTGGCTCTATTGCTGAGGCCGATAAAGGCCTCCTCCTGAGGCAGTCTAATTCAGATCAGGTTACCCGGCCGGCACACAATTTTCACAAGAGTTTTCAACTTCAGGAGAAGAAAACAAATGAGATGGAATTCATGTTATTGTTCACTAATGGCAAAATCATCCTATTAACATACAAACAACCCTTTAATCAAAGGTATCTCTCTTTCTCTCTTACTAATGGGGCATCGCAAGAAAGTTAACTTGCGATCAATTGCAAATTTGCAATTAATCGCAAGACTTACGCTTGATTTTGGGGATTTGCAATTGATTGCAACTTCCTTGCAACGCCTTGAGTTGTCAAGAAAAACTTTTGTTCAAGAAGCATGCATGGAATTAGTAAACAGGTTTCTATCGTTGCATAACTTGGTGGAGTGAATGGGTTAAGGACAGACGTTTATTTCCCCTCTCCTTGCCGCAAAACTAGTATAAAGGTGGTGTAAATGTCAGAGCAGTAAACAGCTGTTAGAACACCAGCAGTGACACAGCATGTAGGCTGGGTATAATACTAGAACAGCTAGGTTCACATGGTGATGTTGTAGTTTTAAACTTTAAGTTTGCAAAACCTTAAAGACCAGTTTGGGTCATGCGATTGCAATGTGAAAGAAACGTTGTTGAATCGATCAGAAAAGGTTGATCATCTAGTATATAAGTATTGGTGTGTACTCTAAGGTTCTAGAAATCATAAAAATTATCAGAAATTTGGCCCAGTCTTGGTAAAGTTACAAGCACTGTACACAGAAAGACGTATATGGGACTATGTGACACGTGCGCGATATCTATCAGGTCCAAATAGATATAATAATTTACCAAATAGATCAATTAGTAGGCGGTTTCTTGGCAAAATTTGTATCATCACATATTAATCAAAACATATTCTTTCACATGATTGGTAATGAGAGCTTCAATTTCTTGAGAGGGGGGCCTTTCCAAAACTGATCTTTACCTTTAAGTTTGCGAAACCTTAAAGTTATGAACAACGATCCACTAACAACGAGGGTTCACAAGGGACGGAAACAACAAGGGCTAGACGTTTTAAAATACAAGCTTGGGGAGCATACATTTGAACTGGCATATTACCTCATAGTTAATTGAGTCTGCATGGCACATAACTTTGAGAAAGTTCCCCCCCCCCCCCCCCCCCCTCCTCCCCTCCCCCTTCCGGCTTGTATTAAACGTGTTACCTCACACTAAACTTAAGATCGCATGCGGTTTGTAACTTCGGGTAAAGTTGAAGTTTCATAAGCAAAAGGGCATCAGAAATATCCCAAACTACAAGATGACTTCAAAGGTCAAATCCACGACCTCACACTTAATGTTAACAGACTGCCATATGAACCTAACTAATGTCATCTCATATGGCTTCAACTAATCCATATGAATTAAATGCAGAGATGATTTCCCACTTTAATAGGAGAACCCTATAGCAAATCCATATCTGAAAACATGTTAATATAAACATAATGAAAATAGTAATAAAATGTTCCTTGTTCATTGATGAACTTCAAAGGTCTCATTTATCCATTTATCCATTTTCTAACCTACTTGTTATTTATATAACTAAAATGAATCAGTCCTGACTCTGCCTAAAAAGTAATAGTTCACACAAATTATATCCCTTTCAACAAATTGACATCTTGGTATACAATTTCATTTATTCTATTTTTCCTACTGCAT